CGAAAACAAAAATGATATATTTGTAAAACTAAAGCTAATATACATATATATAAGAACGGTTGAAGTTTTTTATGCAATCAATTTCCTTATTTGTATTTCTTTAGTCAAACTTAACTTAATGTTAAAAAAAAAAAAAAAATTCATTAAAAGCAAAAATACTTTTTACAAATCTGAGAATTCACGAGCCCAACAGTTAAACCAAGAATTAAAAAAATCTATCCAAGAAAACAATCTCAATCAAAATTCTGAAACCCCGTGGGAAAAAATTATTTTATTTTCTTGTATAGGAATAGGATTAACTCTTATCATTTTATTAGTATATAATTTAAGCAGAAGCCCGTCCCGGAGACGAAAATATACATATTAATAGTATGTTTCTGAATTCTCTCAACTAAAAACAAAAATTTTCAAAAATCCAAGGAAACCACTTTCTACAATTTTACCAAACTAACTGCAATTAAAACAAGGTGATGACCTCTTGCTAAGATTGATGAACTTGAAAAACAAAGATACAAAGAAGGATATTAAATACTATATAAAACTATATATAAATGCCTGCCACTGCTAAAAAAGAATTAATTATCCAGAATATCCAAAATAATTTTCATCAAGCCACTGCGGTTATCTTTTATAATTTCCATCAAACTGAAAATAGGGAAATTTTTCACTTAAAAAAAGAATTAAAAAAAGTTGGTGGCCACTGAAAAGTCTATAAAAATAGTTTGATAGAAAAAGCATTACCCAATTACTCTTTGCAGTTGCAGCAAGCTAACGCACTTATTTTTGTCGAGAAGATGAATACAAACCCTTAAATATCCTAGCCAGGTTCAATAAAGAAAAACGTGGTTTAAAAAGATTTCACGGAGGTATTTATGAACAAAAATTAATAGATAGTTCACTACTTGAAAAATGAGCTAACTTACCAAGCAAAGAAATATTAATAAATACTTTGTGCTATTATCTTAGTTTTCATGTTAGAAGACTTGCCAATGTTTTGGAAAAAATTAAATTAGCAAAGAAGTAAACAAAATAATATGTCAGAAATAAAAATTAGCAAAGAAGTAAACAAAATAAAAGAAGAAATTAAAAGTTTAAATCTTGGACAAATAAGCGAATTAATAGACGGCTTAAAAGAGGATTATAATATTCAAGAACAAGTCGCAATTCAATCAACAACAACCCAAACGGAGGAAAAAGTTGAAGAAAAAGGCAATGTTTCTGTCAAGTGAATAGGAATGGAAAAAGAAGGATTAAGCGTAATACCAATTTTCGGAGCTATAAGGGAGGCTGTTAAGGATTTAAAAGGAGAAGACATAAACATCGTTAGAGCCAAAAAACTCACCGAGGAAGGAGAAAAAATTATCTTGGTCGATATTCCTCGAGATAAAGCTGAAGAATTTCAAAAAAAAAAATGAAAGAAAAAGGAGCCAAAGTTGAAATTAAATAATACTGAGCAGTTTTAACCAATGTCACTATATCGTCTAATTACTTCCGGAGAAAATAAACGTCGTGAATATTTTTCTTTTAACCGTTCACCGCTTTTTAAAAGTTTACCAGATCGGGATTTTGCCCAAGAGCAAAAATTGTCCTATCACAACTTTCTCTATGAAAAACTACCAAAACTACTAAATTTTTACTTTCCTGCTGAATTCAACGATTATAACAATAATGTTAAAATAAAGATTGAAGAAATTCAGTGCCATGAGCCAGAAATTAGTGAAGAAGAAGCAAAAACTAAGTCTATCACTTGAAATCATATCATTTCTTTTGACTGAGAATGTCACAAAATGCAAATTAGTCTTTCAGGCCAAGACTTAAGAGAGAACATTATCAACTGAATAAAAGAAAGTTTTAAAATCGAGAAATTTACGTGCGATAAAAAACATTTTTCGCCTAAGGAACTAAAATCTTTAATCACTCAAAGTAGAAAAAAATTAGAAAAAGAACTAGAAATTCATAACCAAAAAAAGGAGATAAAAAAGGAAGAAGAGGAAACAAATATTATTTGACACTTATCCAGAAAAATCGAGTTATTGGAACAGAATAAATACCAAGAATGAGAAATAAAAGAAATAAAAATCGAGAAAGAATTAGAAATATTTTTGGAAATTTTAGAACAAAAAGAGAGCGAGTTATTAGTTAGTTTTCACTGCAGACAAAAACAAAAAGTAGATTTCTGCAATTTACCAAAAATAAATCCCCAAGGAACTTTCATCATTAATAGTCACGAAAAAGTAGTAGTTCTTCAATCAGTAAGAGCACCTACCATCTATCATTTTGCCACAGAAAAGAGGAACAGCTTTTACAGCGAAATTATCCCCTTTAAAGGTCCATGAATTAACATCTCATATAATGCCAAAAAAGCCCGAAACATTGAAATAAAATTCCTTAATTCGAAAATAAGCATCAATCTATTAGACATACTAAAAACCTTTGCTGGTAACTCAGAAATTTTGGAACAATTTTTTAATCCAGAAGATTTGAATCTTGAAGATTACCAAGTAACTAAACTATTAGAAACGGGAGAAAATCTACCGCATTTTCTATTTACCAAGAAAAACTCTTATTTTGATATTGGAAAACTAGGGAGGAAAAAATTTAACCAAAAAATAGATATTTTTCAGTATTTGCATGGTCAAACTTTAGCCGAAGATTTACTTGATAAAAGCGGAAAATTGATTTTGAAAAAAAACACAATTTTAGAAGGCGAAAAATTACAACTTCTCCAACAAAGTTTTAAAAACAAAAAATTAGTCGGTTTTACAGTTCCTCACTCTAACCACGACTTATATGTAGTGAAAATACAATCACCAAAGGACAAAAAAATTGTTTTACCTTTAATTAGTACAGAAAAAATTTCTCCAGAAGAAAAAACTTATTTTGATTTAGCTGATCTAATTTGCGCTGTTTCCAGTCATATTAACCTATATCATGGCTTAGGTAAAATTGAAAAAGAAGAAGAAAAAGACAAATTAGAAAACCAGATTGTTCGTCGCGTAGGAGACCTAGTTTATAATATATTTAATGATAAATTAGGGGATCCCCCAAAATGACGTGTTACACCTAAATTTTTTATATTAAAAATGAACGAATTGGGAAGAATTGAAAATTTTGAAATCTGTATTGCAGATCATTTATCACGTGATACTAATAAAGAGAATGCAACGTGCCAAATCTATTTTTAAAACACGTGACTGTAAAAATTTTATTGCATTTTTGATTAGGAATTTTTTCCCAAATCTGTCGTTGTGGCGCAGTAAGTTGTAGAGACTCGTTGTGGCGCAGTAAGTTTTAGGGACTAGGTGTCCTGCACCATATATAATCATGTATATTGAAAATCATTAACATAAATAACTAATACATCTGAACAAAAAAAAAAAAAGGAATCTCAAATTATAAATTAAAAAATGCAAAAGCACACCTAATGCGGACAAGAGTGTAACTTATCATGCAAAAGCACACCTAATACGGACAAGAGTGGAGTGTGATGACCAAAAATCAATGTATAATTATAATAAAAATACGATGTTCGATTAAAAATATTTTTTCTCGTTTTTCATTTTGAATAAATTATTTTTCTTCCTATTTAAACCTTACTCTTTCATAAATATTTTCTTTTTCTCAAATAAATTATTTCTTTCCTATTTCATCTTTTCTCTTTCCTGTTTTGATTAAATAAGTTATTTTTTTCAGTTATTGCCTTAATACACGTATTTGTTAATGAATCAATAAAAAATACAATGAGTTATCAAAATAATCAATGTGACTTTTCTTCTAACGGACAACCGAACACACCCAGTATTCCTACCGAAGCTTACTCTGGTCATGATAAATTTCACTCAAGTATTCCAATAAATATCATCTACAACAACAACAACAACAACAACAACAACAACAACAACAACAACAACAACAACAACAACAACAACAACAACAACA